TGTTGGGCCTGCCCCAGCAGATGGTCTTGTGGATCAAGAGGAAGTGGTTTGTTTGGAGCCACGTGGCCTGTCGGCCACGTCTCTGCACTGGCCTGCATACTGACGTGGGGGCGGTGAGTTCCACAGGTGGCCATTCAGGTGGGAGTGCAGCGGGTGGGGTTGGCGTTGTGCGGAGCTCACCCCCAGCTGTTGAAATGGCAGGCCCGGGGCACTGCCAGGTGGGAGCCAGCTGGCCACATTCCCCGAGCTGCTTCTCAGACTCCTGAACCACCTTGGTGCCCCCCGTCCCCCCCCTGCGCTGTGCCCAGCTGGTCTCGGCCCGGGGGAACAGGCAGCGCTGAGTGCCGGGGCAGGCTCTGGGCGCACCGGGGCTGGGCCGATTCCCAGGCCCTGCAGAGCTTTGCTGAGGCAGCTTCCTTGCTGGTCGCTCGTCCCCTGCGGCTGTCACGTGGGGTCAGAACCCGGGGAGCTGAGCCGTGCATTCCCCCAGCCCTGTCCGTGCGAGGCGTGTCCCCGCCCGCTGGGCCCTTCGCACTATTACGGCTTCTCGTGAGGCGGGACGCGGGGCCCATCCGCGGCAGGTCCAGGCTGCTGCCTTTGTGAGCCCCATGTCCCCTGCCTGGCTTCCAGCCAGTTCCACGTTCCCACGCCCCGCGGGCCCCCCGCCGCCCCCACCCGCCGGGGGCCGTGGCACCAGCCGAGCGTGGCCAGCTGGGGGGTTTGCACCGAGGGCCAGTGGCCCTGCAGTGAGTGGCTCTCCCATAGCCCCAGGAGGGGGGTTCTCAGCCCTCGGGAGTGAGGAGCTGGGCGGGGTGTGGCTGCGATTTGGCTGCTTGACCCAGGTGGGGTCTGCCCCCGAGCTGGGCACTGGGCGGGTTCCTGTTTGAGTCGTTTGCTGCCGGGTTGTAAGTCCAGCGCGTAAACACATTGACCAATAGCTGGGTAAACAGCCCGAGGGGAGGGGAGCTCCGGCTGCAGGGCCTCCGCGCGGGAGCCGGGCCTGGGTGGGCTCTGCGGCTCTCAGCCCTGACCTGTGCTGCTCTTCCTCCAGGGGCACCGCTGCCTGCTCGTTTGGCCAGCCCCTGCCTCCAGCTCAGCCTGCTGCCCGGATGTGGTCCCCGGGCTGGCCGCAGGGCCAGCTGGGCAGAGCGAGCGGCTGAGCGCCCGGCGGGGCTGGGCGCTGCTGTTCCTGGCCCCCCGCGAGAGGCGCCGACCTTCTGATGGATCGGGGGCCCCGTTGGCTGCTCTTGCTGTGGACTCCAGTGGTGGCCGTGGCGCTGCTGGCCCAGGAGGGGCGCGGCCAGCGTGTCTACACCAACAGCTGGGCTGTGCTGGTCCCGGCGGGGCCGCAGCAGGCCCACAGGCTGGCCCGGAAGCATGGATTCCTCAACCTTGGGCCGGTGAGTGACCCTCCCTGCTTGGCGCGACACCCCCGTGCCGGGGGCTGTGTCTGGCTCCTGCCCAGGGCGAGGGGCATGTCCCCCGGGCTGGGCGTCTGTTGGCACCTCTGGCTTGGCGTGACCGGAGCTGTGGGGAGGCAGGGCGGAGGCGCTCGGGACCCACCCCCGGCAGACTCGGGGAGGCTGGG